TCGCCAAAGTACAGGATAATTCTAGAAAGGAGAGAGCGTGAGAATCGCATGATCTCGATGACGCAACAATATATTTATAGCAGTGGCGTATTTTCCGTGTTTACCGGCGGCAAACCAGCCTTGGGAAAATTTAAAAATATGATATTTTAGTCAATATAAAATATTTGAAACTCATCCATTACTAGCACAAATATATAATTACTGCATTTTTGAAAAAGCAGTGACACAAGATGTTCACACGAGATAGAGCCATCGTTGACCGCAGTGACTGGGATAACTAATTATTATGGTGATTGGTGCGGCGAAGACAGTTCTACTTATTAGTGTGTACGTTAAACACCTTGGAAGTATTTCGCTGATGCTTGTGGTGCAAAGTAGGGTAGTAAATGCTAGATGACGCTAATTTAGTATTATTTATTATGCTAAATGCTAATTTGTTTTAAGTTACGCATTTTTCATGATTTTGAATATTTTTATATGTTTTGATCTCTGTTATACAAGTGTATATATATATATATAAATATATTTTTAATAGTAATTGTTCTTAATCTGTAGAAGATAGAATAATAATTTCACTTTCCCAGATGTCTAGATTTGCTGTACTTATATTGTTGTTTGCGGGAACTGTTCCACTGCTCGATGCCACTTTCTGGCCAGTGACGTGGGTTTATTCATGGTGGTATCCGGAGCCTGTAATCTACAACGTGCAGCCAAACTATGGTGCTCATCCTCAACCATATGGTCCTATGCCCGTTAAAGTGGTTACACATAAGTCACCATCTCCAGCGTTAGGTGAGATTGGAGTAACATCAATACCCAGGCCTTTCCCAAATAAAACTACACCTTTATCTGTTGTCACAGAGAGCTCGAAAAACGGTAAGTAGGACTCTTGATGAATTTATAACATTTCTAATAAGGCAGTTTTAGTTCAATTTAAATAGAAATGTAGGTGTTTTGAAATAGTGTTGCTACAAATGAACTTGTAAACTGAAATTCAGACAGATTAATTTCACAGTTTAAGTTAGTAACAAAGTATTAAGAATAATCCTATTCATTAGGTAGATTAGTTCTGGGCATCTGTGTTATCCTGTTTTTAATTAAAAGCTACTTGCAGAAACGTGTTCAACTTTTACATACATCGAACTTCATATTGTTAATACGGATTTTCGATGATGATCGACATAATGCAAGAACTATCATTCAAATATCATTCATTGTAAGAATTTCAAATTTTTGTGTTATGTTTCCATACACAGAGGCAACACTTGCGTGTAACTTCATATAGAAGTGATATCTTTAGAACTTGTACTTTTCTTACTTGTAAAGGTGCCAAGTAAAGACAATGTTTTTTCTTTATCGTGTATGAAAATAGATTTTATTAGTAGACCTATCAATGTAATAATAGATAGATAGATAGGTATTTGACTGTGGCTATAGATGACGTATCGTATCTCTCTTTGCTAAAATACACGAAATACACGGTGAATTGTGTTAATGTCACTAGAATGCGCCATCTGTCCGTGTAAGTTGGGACTAGAGTTACTTTGGTAGCATACACTGTTTATTTTAAGGAAAGTACAATCTGAAGACAGAATTGAACCAGCCTGGACCCTCAGTTGTAATAAATTCACTTATTATTGGCAGCATATTAAAATTACATTCATTATATTCACATGTAGTAAATCTTTGGCTTGGGGTGAAAAAATTTCTCATTTCCCGATTGGTTGGCAAATGTTGCCACCTATTCAACTTTTAATTCAATAAATTATTCATGTATAATGACAAGCTATAAAGCAGTTGTAGAACATGAGAACACCATTTTTTCTGATATGTCAGTTTAAAAATAAAAAATACCTCTCGATGACGATCGTGCCATCTCTCGACTTAAAATTCTTCCCGTTTGAGTACAGGTCATGGTTAGCTCATACATAGTCTGTGTTTAGCAGTTTTAACACCTCCGGAATATCTTTTATAAAATTTGTAAAAAAACAAACAAACTTCGTTTTGAAATCTTTCCTTCAAATATAGTGGCGTCATAGTCTCATTCCGCATCAAAATCAAATAGAAGTTTAGATATGGTACCGTATCTCTAACCACTTCTTAAAATTACAGTATCTCATGCCTCACTCATCTGATTCAGAGTTCAATAAATGTTTGTCTTAATTCAAACTAGAATGTTTTGTAGAAAAGTGTATTCCCACTAAGCTACTTTCTTTTTTACAGTTGAATCTGAATCAATCTCTAACTCTTCAGTTGGAATACAACTGAACACAACTCTCATTGTTAAGATGAAGGAAAAATCGTCAATACCTTTTATTGCTACGGGACGTCAGAGCACAGCGGACAGTGAAAACGTGACTTTGGAAGATATAGGTTTAGAAGCTGACAATAAAGAAAGTTCAAGGCATCAAACAACAGTTTTAGAGATCTACACTGAGCAAGTGTCAACCAATCTATCAACAGAAGATACTTCCACGATCTACCAAACAACGTCCTATCCGCTATTAAATACCGGCGCCTCTGCAACTCAGATTTCAGATTCACAAATACTGGCATTCAGCGGTTTAAGAAATGCCAATTCCAATGATACAGCGGAGGCTTTAAAGAAAAACTTAAACGACAATATACTCAACAACACAACAGGGATTCAAACTAACTTGACTGACGAACAGCGCCCTCTTTTGGTGGAGTCGACCTTAACCAGTAACGAAACGACAAATCCAATTAGTGATGCACTCTTGCTAAAGAAAAAGAAAAGCAACAAAATAAATAGTTCTCGAAAACAAAAACTTTTTAGCTTAAATTCACGAGTGCCATACGATGGTTTTGACTATTTCCGGTATAATAATATTAATAAGTAAGAGTTTGATATTTCTGTGTTGATTCACTTCTTTGATGAAAACTTACTACCATGGATGTTAGAAAGAATAGTTATCTTTATCTAAGTTGTGTAGTTTAGGGTGTTTAAAGCATTTAGACACCGTTTCAAATAAAATTTCGCTATTACTTTCTTGGATCGTTGTATATATATATATGTGTATTTTAATAAAATGACGACCTCGGATGGGACAGTAGTAAATATATGAACTTATAACGCTAACATCCGGGGTTAGATTCTCCGCATGGAACACAACAAATTGCTCAATCTGGCTTTGCTCTAAAAACAAAACAAAACCCGTTAAATTGTCTAGATTGATGCAGATCATAATTTTGCATGATACTTTAAATAAAAAGTACAAGCTTTAAACAGTGATCTCCCTCGAGCTGGAAACAATTGTTGAAACAATCAAACTCAATGCATAGATTGAAACTTTTTCACTGACCTGAAGAACAATTTCATGAATAATAGCTTTAGTTAAAGGACTTGTTTCAAAAGTTTGGGCGCAAACAACTCGTAGCTTGTCTGTTTTACAACAACTATTAACTTGGAAAGTCTGCCGAGAGCTTCAAATTATTGCCCCATTTTCCATGCTATTAGTTAACTATCTTATTCAAGAAGACAAGGGGCACATCAATATTATGTTGTACTTATGTTCATCACAAATGTCTTATGAAAAGTCTTTTTTATGTGCAATAGAAACATGTAAGAATAAGTATTTTTTGCGTTTAGCGCAAAGCTACACATTAGCCTATTAACGCTCTGTATTTGCGGCGAATAGAACTTCGGATGATCGTTTATTCAAAAAGTAGAATACAGTTTCTCTTTTTTAGCCTACTTTCATAATTTTTATACTTTGAAACATTATTCTGTGACTACAGTTATTTACTTTTCATTCTTTTTAATGTGCATTATGTTGGATTTTGTTTTTTGTTTGTTTGTAATTAAGCCCAAAGCTACACAATGGGCTATCTCTGCGGTGCCCACCACGGGTATCAAAACCCGGTTTTTAGCTTTATAAGTTTTTAGACTTGCCGCTGTGCCACGTGTTGAAATAAATAACATTTTTTCTCCATACAAAGTTTTAAGATTATTTCGAAAAGACTCGTTGCCACGTTTAAACTTCTATACTAAAAACATTTTGGAAAATACACTGGAGCCCCCTAGTGGTCCAGCGATTTCGATACCCCTGGTGGGAATAGCACAGATAGCTCATTGTGTAGCTTTGTGTTAAACTTCAAACAAACAGACATACTGGGTTTGCCAATTCTAGTATTCCACATATTTTAAATCAAAAATAGTATACATTTTTAGGTTCTGGTGAATTTGAAGTAAATATTAATGCTAATTAGTAGATTTCTTAGTCACTTCTGATTCTTTACAAAAAAGTTTCTTCAAGAACAGAAACATATCTCAAGTGAAAAAAAATCTTGATAAATCTCTTAATACGAAACTGACTACGTTAATTAGCATATAACATGTAAATCATAACATTTCTAAAGAAAACGAGTATTGTTCCCTACTTTAAATTAACATCAATTTGTTTATGACTACGAATTTTTTCTCATCAATTGAGACCAAAAATGTCCCTTATAACTATTCCAAGATAGGTTATCGTAATTGCCCATAGATGTCGTCACGTTCTATAACGTACAAAAAATTATATATATATATATTCTTTCTTGGTAGGTTTCTCCAATTATACTCCTTGCCGTTGGGGTCATTTTGTTTCTTTGTTGAATTTCGCGCAAAATTACTCGAGGGCTATTTGCGCTAGTCGTCCCTGATTTAAAAGTGATAGACTAGAGAGAAGACAGCTACTTAACACCGCGAACTCTTGGGCTGCTTATTCTTTTACCAACGAGTAGTGAGAGTAACCTTCACATTATAATGCCCACACGGCAGAAAGAGCGAGCATATTCGATGATGGGATTCAAACCCGTGTCCAACATGAGTGAAAGGTTAACAGATAATTGTATCAGAAAAATATCAATCGTTCGCTTATAGGTCAGTCTTGTTAGTTTTATTCTCTGTTTACTTGTTTATATGTAAATGTTTTAAAAGTGTTGTTGCAGATCTTGGGCTTAGCGAAACAATTAACCAAATTTTGGTTTCTCTTTTGATTAATTCGAAATCTACAGCGAAGCGTACTACTTTCCAGTTCTATTATATCACCTTAATATTCATTTATACAAATTATTAATTAAAATCAAATATGAGAAAGAGGGAAGGCGACGATGAAATTTTAAAGAGAATACGATTTTATTTTTAAAGAATTGTTTTATCTTACAAAATACATAGTTGTATAAGTAACACCTGTCTTGAAGAAACGAACTGCCAGTTTCATTTAGAACAATTTATTGTTATTTAATTAAATACCTTCTGATTATTGACGTCATCATCTCTGATAAGATCAGCTCAAAATATTGTCAAACGACTTTAAACTTGATACTGAAAATATACCATTCAAAATTTAAAAAACAACGAAACTTTCATTAGGCGGATTACTCTCTCAAAACTGAATACCAGAACGAACTGTTCTTGTTAAACTGAGATCCTTCTCACTTAATTGGGGTTTTCCTTCAACTAATGCAGGGATATTTTTTAAATTTAGCTCCGAGTGGAAAAGCAAGTCCTCTATGTTAAAACCTGTATCTGATTTTTCTACAATGAATTTCTCACTGGTTCTACCTCCAAATGATTTTGAAATAAACACTATCTGAGGCATTGGGTGCTCTGGAGTATTATGAGACTTGTAACTGTTGTAAGTTTGATTTCACCTTTCAAAATTATTTGGTCTTTGAATAAATTCTTTTGCATAGTCAACACTCAACAATATAGATTATTCAGGGATAAGTTTCCTTAACTGAATCAGAACAACGTGCATATATCGTTTCTCGGAGTAGTAAACACACGAAATCTTTTAAGTGACAACTGAAATTCAATTATTAAAACTTTGATTGCTAGTGTGATCTGCGACTGGAACCTAATTATTAAAACTTTGACTGTCGGTGTGAAGTGGAAGAAATGAACCCAAGTATTAAAACTCTGAATGCTAATGTGGCCTGCGAAAACTGGAACCCACCTATTAAGAACTCTGACTACTAGTGTGACCTGCGAAAACTGAACCCAGCTATTAAAAACTCTGACTACTAGTGTGACCTGCGAAAACTGAACCCAGCTATTAAAACTTTGATTGCCAGTGTGATCTGCGGGAACGGAATCCATTTATTAAAAACTCTGACTGTCAGTGTGATCTGCGAGAACTGAATCCAGTTATTGAAAACTGATTGTGAGTGTGAACTGTCAGAACTGAACCTACCTATTAAACGGCGAGAACTGAACCCAACTATTAAAATTTTGGTAGACAGGGTGATTTGCAAGTACTGTGCTCCTAAATAAATCATGCAATAGCAAATTAAGTTTTTATCTCCTTAAAAAAAAGCTCATCACTAGTTTCCATTAAAAATTCCAAAATGTATTAAATTATTTCACACGTCCACACAGCTTGAGAAAAAACTCACTTTGTTTTACCAGAGCACAGTACCTGTATATCGTATAGTACTGATATACAGTATGGTATTTGTGTACAGTATCTGTGTAAAGTTTTGGTACAGACATAAAGCGATTCTCAAATTTGCAATTAATACCTCTTCACTCCTATAGTTTTAAAGTCTGACTATAAGCATATGTAGTTTGGAGCTTAATCCATGACTTCCCAAAGATTTCGTCAGATTATTGTCATTACGTTCCAACAAACTATATTGTGATTCAGTTTTCTGTATTTGATTATAAGGTTTTTATTTTTATTTTTACTCATAGTCATAATTAAATTACGTGTAAAACAACTAACAAAAATTCCTATCATTCCGTCACGTGTTTAATAACTCCTTCTTTCATTGTCCCAAGATACCATACGCTCGGTTGTTACCTATTTTCCTTTTTCTGTATATTACTTTCATTTCATTTTGGTTATTGATCAGTAATATAAATCCTTCAACTATCGGTTTTGTCATTTTTTCAGAATACTGTAAATAGGAGGACATAGCATTCTGGCGCTTTCACTTCAGCTTCTTGAACTCTAACAAACTGGAATCTTGGTTACAAAGTTCTTCTTTAAGCTTTTCTCCACTAGCAGTTTTTTCCTTTCTCTCTCCGTGTTAGAAATTGTGAACAACTGGACTGGATTACTGTGTAATTCGTTACTAGTAAAGAAAGGCTTCCCTAGGTTAGCCACGATCAAGGATTTGTACAACTGGTAAAGTTTTGTTTGTTTGGTTTGAATTTCGCGCAAAGCTCCACGAGGGATATCTGCGCTAGCCGTCCCTAATTTAGCAGTGTAAAACTAGAGGGAAGGCAGCTAGTCATCACCACCCACCGCCAACTCTTGGGCTAGTCTTTTACCAACGAATAGGGGGATTGTCCGTAACATTATAACGCCCCCACAGCTGAAAGGGCGAGCATGTTTGATGGAACAGGGATTCGAACCCGCGACCCTCAGATTGCGAATCGAGTGCCGTAACCACCTGGCCATGCCGGGCCCAACTGGTAAAGACAAGTTAAATAAGAAATTACAGTGATGATGTTGAAACGGTGGATCGTAAAGCATTAATATAAAATGAATAAAAACAACAACAGAAAAACTTGGTAGTTTCACAAAAACAAAATAAACATACTTTATTAAGATATCTAACACACCAAACGGACGATCTGACTTTAAATCAAATGACTTAACTTTTTGTTTTGTTTTGCAGCAGACTACAACTGACAAAACCATACAGAATAGAGCGTAATAGCAACTTATTGTGGAACAGAGTTATCCTATATATCAAGAAAAAAAAAACTGAGAGAAAGGTTGATGACAGTTTTGTTTTCGTATGAGAATGTTGGGTCAATGACTAAAGCATATCAACTTCCTAATCATATACTAAGAACAAAAACAATCTAAAAATTGAACCATGTGCGACATTCTCAGGAGTTTTTCGCAACTGTCACTAAAAAAAAAAATAATCGAGCATTGTTCCATAATTCCAATACCTACTCCTTTCACTGAACATAAAAAGGTGTTGAAATATAAGACTTGGTGTGGAATGAGAAGGAATGAATGAAATGTCCTAATAGCCACAGTTATTAAAGAA